CTGGATTTGAACTCAGGCAATCAAAGTTCATTTAATTGATGTCATAAAACACCACCCAATCAGCAGGGTTAATGTTTCCACTGTTAACAAAAACTCATACGTATTTGGAAGAGTATCAGGTAATGCTAGAGACACAGCCAGTGACAACAAAATAAAATAGTAGCCTCATTTGCCCCATGTTTTAGTCTAATCCACCAAACTAAACCAACCACAAAAACAAAATAATAAATGCTTAAAATATAGGGCCCTGGCCAGGTAGCTCGGTTGGTTAAAGCATCATCCCAATAGTCCAAGGTTGTGGGTTCAATTCCAATCAGGGCACATATAAGAAGCAACCAATGAATGCATAAATAAGTGGAACAACAAATTGATGTAAATGCTTAAAATATATGTAAAGTTTTAAAGTCAACTCTAGTTTTCTTAACTGGCACTAATCATAATATCTGGAATAATAGCCCCTCCTAGAAAGAGAAGTCTATAATAGGCCTAATAGCGTTATAATTATTAATTAATTAACATTGCAAAATGTTGAGTACCCACTGTGGGCAAGGCACTATACAAAATGCTTTTCATTTCATTTTTACAGCCTAGTAAGGAGAATAATATAAGCTCCACTTTACAGATGACAAAACTGAGACTGAGAGAGGTTAAATAAACTGCCCAATTAGTAAATAATAGAGCCAGGATTCAAAGATATGGTCATACAACTATAAAATCTGGACTTTGTCCGTTCTATCATGCTTCCTCAGAACACAAATTATGCCTTTTTCAATTTCATAATATGGTAGTTATAAATATACTTTTGTCATCGTCAGGCTATTCTATGGTTCTGTGAGATTCCAGGTTGAAAAAAAGTTAATTTAGATTAAAGACTACTGACAGGTAAAATTCCTTATAACAAAGTTGGTTATATTAAAAGTAATTAAATAAACCTTCATAAATTATGCAAAGGAGCACCCCATGACACAATTGAAAGGTACCTGAGGTATACTTTTGCATAGCTTAGGACAAAAGCATCACTAACTTTTACTTTTCTAAGGTCAAAGGTAGCCAAAGCCCATCTTAAATAAAGTTATGAATTTTGCTTTTTTCTGTGTTCTTAGCTTCCCTTACTTTGCTTTTACTTGGGAGTTTTCAATCCCTCTTCCTCTCTAACTGGAAAAAAATCTGATCAAATAATCATTTTCCTAATTAACTACATATACCTTACTACTTATAAACAAGTTACCACAATTAAGATTTTGCTATCTGATGAGAAAACTCAAGACTTCGACCCTGATTAAAAGAATATAAGGTATCAGCAAACAAGGGGGGAGAAACAGAGTTTTGGTGGGGAGAGAAGAGGGTCACTGAACATTATTAATATAGCAGCTCCTTGGTTAATCCACTTAAGATGACTAGGGGGTCTCTTCCTACTGCTTAATCCCAAACTCCACTGGAAGGACCAGTGAGAAGACTTGGTCTAGTTATGATTGCTGGGGACCTATTCCCAAGAGCTGCAGGAGGAGAGACAAGTGTCCAGCCTTCTTCTAAATCCACATTGTCTTACCCAGGCTCCTATCCTCTAGGACCAGCAATTCTCAGTCTATTCACTTGCATTCTGACACACTTTCCTTAGTGGAAGAAAACAAAGGATGAGTTCAAGCAAGCAGTGGAAACTGCACAGAAGGAAAAATATGTCCATGGGAGAATGCTGCAAATAGGATCATCCTCCTTTACATATGTCACTCCAGGAAAACTGCCAAGAACAGCGCACTTCTCTAGACATACTTCCTGCAGATGCTCCAGACTCCTCCTCGAATACACGTCAGTGCTCTCCTCATTTTCCCTTAGTTTCAACCCTCCTTTTGCCCCAAGATTTCCAAGTGCATATTTTATATTCTCAAAAATATATGGCAATATCAAAATGACATATTATGTATCAGTATGTGTCTCACATCTGAACAAACACCCTAAAGCCTTATAGAGTATTTCTACCTTAAAGAATGAAATTTCCAATATATTACTGAAACAGAATTCTTTGCAAAAAAAGGATTTATCATGTCAAGATTTTTAAAAATAACATAGCAAAAATTTTAAATATATTTAAAGAGTAAAACTGTTTCCTTTCTCCCTAGCCCTATCAAGGAAATATATCAGAATTCAGAAATCAGCAGAATTCAAAATCTATTCTGTAGAAATCAAAATCTATTAAACCCAACAGATGTGTTTTGCCAAGTCCAAATAAAATGTAGCTTTTCAAGTACTCTATTATAAGTAAGACTTTTCTTTAAGGTGGTAAGTTCACCAAGAGACCTTTTCTAAAAAAAGAAATTCTCCCAACAAACTAAAATCCAAAAATATAGGGGTTTTGTACTTTGAAAGAACTAGATTTTCAGGCACCAGCATTTCCATTAGGATTTACTGTATAGGAAGTTGGAAGGCAAGAAGCAGAGAAAGCAGATTAGAAGCTATTTATAAAAGATAAAACTTTACTGAAATAGAAAATAAACTTAATTAATTAGTGTTAATTGAATTCTACTTTTTAAAATCATTTACATGAATAATCTTTGATATGTAAAATTGAGTCTCACTAAATTGTACAGTCAGGAGCACACAGTTTCTTTGGGATTTAAAAACCACTATAGATTAAGAAATCTCACTGTAAAATTGAGAAATCAGAGTTATTCACAGATAAGTATGATTAAATTATGGATGAATAAGAAGTCAATTGACTAAAGTCCGTTTACTAAGAAGCAAGTAAGTAGCCCTGGCCGGTGTGGCTAAGTTGGTTGGGCCTTGTCCCATGCACCAGAAGGTTGCCAGTTTGATTCCCGGTCAGGGCACATGACCAGGTTTGGGGCTTGATCCCCAGTAGGGGGTGAGCAGGAGGCAGCCGATCAATGTTATGCTCTCACATTAATATTTCTCTCCCTCCCTTCCTCCCCCTCTCTCTCTCCCTCTCTCTCTCCCCCTCCCTAAAAATCAATAAAAATATTTAAGAAAAAAGAAAAGTAAGTAGCTCTGGCCAGGTAGCACGTTGTCCGGATATAACAAGGTTTCAAGTTCAATCCCCAGTCGGCACATACAAAAAAGCAACCAATTAATACATAAATAAGTGGAACAGCCTGGCCGGCTTGGCTCAGTGGTTGAACATCAACCCATGAACCAAGAGGTTCCTAGTTCGATTCCCAGTCAGGGCACATGCCTGTGTAGCGAGCTCAGTCCCTGATTGGGGGTGTGTGCAGGAGGCAGCCAATCAATGTTTCTCTCTCATTGATGTTTCTCTCTCTCTATCCCTCTCTCTTCCTCTCTCTCTTAAAAAAAAAATAAAATTTTTTTTAAAGAGTTTTAAAGAATATATATATATATGTATATATATATATAGCCCATAAGAAAAATAAGTGGAACAAATCGATGTCTGTCTCTCTCTCCCTCTAAACATCAATAAAGAAAAATTTAAAAAGCAGCAAGTAAGTAAACAAACAAGTCAATGTTCAAAATTATGAAGGATGAACTTTTATATTTTCCCCACACTTATTAAGATTTTGCATTCTTCCCTCAGCGAGTAAATAACTGAATGATCTATACAAATGTACCTACTAACTGTATAATGATTTAAAGAATAACCATTTTGGTGGTAGGGATACTACATTTAATTAATGCAAGGAATTCAAAAGCTTTCATCCTTGCAAACTTTGTCCTTCAAAATTAGTAAATTTGTTTTGGGAAAAGACTGCTTATGTTTTTCAACTCAAACGTGCAAGGATTATGTTTCCAAACAAAAATAAAAATTTTAACAAAACATAAAAATCTGAAAAACTAAAATAATTTTTGAGAGAGAAAAATTATCTAAACATTCTAATGCAAAGCTACATCAATAGTTTCTTCATAATTTCACAAAACATTAATGAAGGGGTTACATAAATCCACTAGATTAAAGATTTTAAAGAGAGCTGCAAGAATCTCTTTGTTTTCAATGCTGCTTTCTCTGTTCTTATACCCATAAAAACAGATCTAAATCAACTCTTTCTAAATAATAAACCACCTAGTTTTTTTTTATAGAACAGTCTAACTAAAAACAGCACAAAATGTACAACTATATTGTCAATATATCTTTAAGTATTGTGGATTACATTTAGGTCCCTCGAACAAGTTACATTTACAGCATATGCTATATCCAGTTCATTCTCAAGGGAGAAAACCATCAGAACAAAAGTTCCTACTTAATAAACTACTTACTTTGTTGTTAAGCCTCTACCCCAGTGCATTTTACTGTCCAGTAGTATCACTATTTCTTCTCTCTCCAAAAATCTAGAAATCTAAAATACACAAATGAAGTAGATCTGGTTCCCTTAAAAATGCTTTTCTATTATGTTTTGTATTAGTGTAAGGCCATGAAAAGTTTTAAGATACTTTTATCCTAAAAAAAGCACACTTTCGCTTTTATCTTTTGAAATGTCTCTTACTTGGTTTTTGCTTATTTTCTATACATGTACTGTTCTCAAACTAGTCCATTTCAGTGTTAATCATTTAGTCAATATGTCTATGTATACTTAGGTTGTTTTTTTTTTTTTTTTTTACAAACAATGCTTTACAGTAGAGTGGTAAAAAAGAAAGGGTAGACAAGGGGGCACAAGTGAAACAAAGTATACCACATCTGAAAAACACCACTCAATTTCATTTCTCTGCCTCAAATTCCCTTAAGTCCTCGTGCCAAAGATTCTCAATATCTAAAAAGAGGTACAACACGATATATGATAAGGCAAACACAGGAGGAACCAAATCAGAAACTGAAGAAATTTAATAGAATCACAACCTAAGAATTAGCACAAAAAGAAGAAAAACAAAGAAATAAATAATAAACCCAGTCCCAGATACCCCTACTGAAGGGCTGCTTTTGCTGTACTGCATGGCTCAAAACAGTTTTTCAGTCTTTTGACTGTCAGAAATACATTTTACATTGTGACCTAGTACACAAATGTATGAGAAAAATTTCCCAGAACAATACTTTTCCTTACCAAGCGCAGTACTAGTCAATTCTGTTCATCTATTTCATTTTCTTTTTTCTTTTCTTTAGAGAGGAAGGAGAGAAACATCGATGTGAGAGCAAAACATCCATCTGCTGCCTCCTACACACCCCCTACAGGAGATCAAGCAGGTAACCTGGGCATGTGCCCTGACTAAGGCTCGAACCCGCAACCTCCTGGAGCAGGGGATGATGCCCAACCAAATGAGGCACACCAGCCAAGGCTCATTTTATTTTCAATGCTGGCGGTAACCCACCTAAAAACTGATTTGATAAATTACTAGTAAATCATGATCCACAGTTTGAAAAAAGACTTAAAATAGAGTACCCCTTTATAATAATATCTTTTTTGCAATATGCTTCTGTCCCTAAGCAGGGTAGACAGGTATTTTAAGGTTGCCACATTATTACTGTTTTCATTTAAAGCAGTGGTTCTTAAAGTGGACCAACATGAGCATCACCCGAAGTAAATGTAAATTCTCAGAACCAACCCAGACTTACGGAATCAGAAACATCATGGGGCCAGCAGTCTGTAGTTTATCAAACCCTCCAGGTGATTCTGGTTTAAGCTAGTTTGAGAACCAGCTCATTAAAGAACTCAGGGCTTTCTTCAGCCTCTATTTAACAACCTGGTACACAGTGCATACTCTGTACCAGTCACTATTCTAAAAGTTCTACAAATATTAACTCATGTGAAAAAAAAACCCTATGAAGTAGGAATTATTATTATCCCTGTTATACAGATAAGAAAACTTTTGCACAGAGAGGTTAAGTTGTCCAAGCTAAGTGGTGGAACTAGAATTCAACTCATTTCTAATTTGGCAAGGGTATGCCTATCCTTTTCATGACTCTCCTCTCTCTCCGATCAAGTCCCCAGTCTTACTCCGTTATACCCCTTCCCTTTTCCCTTTCAAATTCCTGTCAATGTCCTTATTTTCTAATATTGCTGTCATCCTAAAACAAATTTCTAAAACACTGGAACGCAAGTCACTTAACCTTGCTTTTAGGACCTTTTCTCTGGTCCTCGATGGCACCTTCGTATTATGAAGCTGAAGTTTCTTCTATTTCTGAAGTTCTTAGAGCTGATTAATGGCCTCACTGTAAATTCCTCGTATCTACTGTCCTGGCCAGTTTCCACAAGACCACTGCTCTCTTCCTGAGCAACTTTGTCGCTCGCTCCTACTCCGCCCTATCTTCTACTCCCTTCCTACAAGGAAATTATTTCTCCCCGCCCACCTGCGTGTCGTTTTGCTAAACTCCTCTCTAACTGAAAGAACTTCCACTCCCCAGCTAGACCCCTCACCCCAGTTCCAAGCCCGAGCTACTCCTCGAGGGTTTTTTCCTGGTGTGCCGGGGATCCTCAGACTCAGGAGTTCCTAGTGCAGCCTTGGGTCTCCCATCCCAGACCAGCGGTGGGGAGCAGGGCGCTCCGGTCCCTCCTCAAACTGTTCTAGGTCTCCAGGTGTCCGACCCTCCTCAGACCCTCAGCTCCCTAACTCCCCAGGAGCCCTCCTCCCCTCCGACAGCCACCTTTCTCAGGAGGGTCCCCACCCCCTCCCTGCCATTCCTCGACGCCCTCGCTAGGGCTCAGGTCGCTCCCTGTCACCACGGACCCCAGCCACCCTCGGTCTCCCATCTCCCTCGAACCCGGGCCCCTCCCAGTTTCCCGACCCCCCAGCTCTCCGCTCGGCCGCTCCCGGGCTTCCCGGGTTCCCCTTCTCCCTCGAACCCAAGCTGTCGTGGGTATTCCCGAGTCACCCCGTCCTCAGACCAGGTCATTACCGGTCACCACCCTGTCGGGGACCCCGGCCGCTCCCGTCTCCCCAGGGACCTACCCCCCACACCGGCCGCGGTCAGTGTCCCAGACCCGAGCAGCACTACGTCCCAAGGGACCTCCCGGTCTGACGTGCCTGGGTCTGGCCCCAGCCTACCTGGCGTCCGCGAACTCCGCCGCCGGCAGCCGGGC